TAGAAAAAATAAAAAAGATTTAGCAGTAGTACCTAAAAGATTGAAAGAAGGTAAATGCATAATTGAAATCAATCAGGAAGACAAGGGAATTAAAGAAAAAAGATTTACTATTATATATAGTTAAAGGCTGAAAATACCTCAATGGAAGATTCTGCCCGTTGGCTCCCTTTGTAGTCTATTTCGATGATTTGAATGCGAGGGTTGCAGTCCCACTCGGAACCACTTCCTCTGGTGCGTCTTTTCGTTAACTCAGGGCATTCATCAATACAAAGCCTTTCTAATTTGGAGAGGTATCGGATGGCTTTCATATGTTTCAGAGATTTGCAGTTGGAAATCTCCAGATTTTGAAGAGAGGATAAGTTTCCAAACCAATTTGGCAAAGCTTCCAGTCCATCAAAATCCTCTATTTCGAGAGACTCAAGGGCAGTTAGGTGTTGAATTTGATCCAGCAGACGTTCTCCTGGTTCTCCCCATGCAATCAAAGTCAAATCTTCAAGATGAGATCCGATGAAGCCCAGATCTGGAAATTCCTTGAGCTCTGTTGAGAAACCACCAATAGTCAGCTTCTTCAGGCAAGCAAGGCAGGCAGGGTTAGGGACGCTCCAGCTCCTCCTCAAATCATCTGGAATAGAGATTAGATTATTACAGTTGGAGATATCCAATTCCTCAAGAGCAGTGCATGATGGCAACCCACTTGGCAAACTTCTTAATCCACCACACCGGCTTATCCATAAAGTCCGAAGAGATGAAAGCCCATGGAGGTTCGGAAAGGACATCAAACCATTGCACTCCCATACAGTCAACTCTTTGAGACACGTGGCAGTAGATAAATCCTCTCCTATGCTTTTCAATTGCCCACACCTGTGTATTTCAATTTTTTGAAGAAAGGACAGCCCATGAAGGTTCGGAAAGGACATCAAACCATTGCAGTCTGTTACAATCAACTCTTTGAGACACATGGCAGTAGATAAATCCTCTCCTATGCTTTTCAATTGCCCACACCTCTCTATTTTAATTTTTTGAAGAGAGGACAGCCCATGGAGGTTCGGAAAGGACATCAAACCATTGCACTCCCATACAATCAACTCTTTGAGACACATGGCAGTAGATAAATCCTCTCCTATGCTTTTCAATTGCCCACAGTAGCCTATTTCAATTCTTTGAAGAGAGGACAGCCCATGGAGGTTCGGAAAGGACATCAAACCATTGCACTGCCATATAGTCAAGTCTTTGAGACACGTGGCAGTAGATAAATCCCCTCCTATGCTTTCCAATTTCCCACATGAGACTATTCTAATTTTTTGAAGAGAGGACAACCCATCTACATTGGGCATGGACATGGCAACTGGTGCAACCTCTACCTGAACTAGTTCTTCACAGTTCTCAATGTTGAGTTTCTGAAGGGACGAATATGCAATGCTTTTCAAATTCTTGCAATTTTTAATTTCTAACTTTGCCTCATTGCTGAGTGAAAGTGATGGAATGCTTTCCAACCAAGGACAGTCATAAAAGGTCATGAACATCAGATTTTTGAGAAAATTTTTTGTTTCTAACATCCATGAAGGACAGCCTTTCCCACAGTAGTGTTCAATAGTTAGGCCTTTCAAATTTGAATGAGGTTGGAGACCTTCCAAGATATCTTCATCATGTTCACATCTATCTTCACTGCCACTAGATTCCTCATACCGCATCAATTGCAACTCCTGAATTGTATGCTTTTTACCAAACACCAATTTCAACTCCTGAATTGCATCCTTTTCAGAAAGTCTTGCTCCCATGGCTTCTTCGTCCCTAACCATATCCAAATTACGAATCTCTAATTTTCCCTTGAGTTGGTTTAAATGCCCCAGTTCTTCAATTTGATGTCCCTTCTGTTGGCCCACAACAAATAATTGTAATGTTTTCAGACAAGTTAATCTACCAATCCCTGCTGGCATAAGCTTTTCATCACTGAAACAAATGTGTCGCAAATTGAGTAAATCCCATATTCCTTCCAAAGGCCTTTCAATTCCATCGCAATACATAAATCTAAATGTTTGCAAATGATAGAGCTTGGTGATGAACTTGGGAAGTTCTTTGATTCTAGTTCTTGAAACATCCAAGAACCTTAAATGCTTCATTTTCCCCAAAAAAGCTGGCAACTCATCAATATCAGCTCCACAGACACTGAGAACCTGCACCTTTCTCAAGTTCGTTGACATACTGTGAAAGACATCAATTTGTGAAAACAAAGTGTGCAATTTTTTAGGGGCATCCCCTAATTTTGTTGTTGTCGTATCCTTATCAGAAATGACATTCAAATGTTGAATGTTTGCAGGAATATTTCTTCCGCTACCATCTTCCAAAATCAAAGTTTGGGACTTTGAAACAGATTGTGCAAGATCATGAATTAAATCATGCATTTTGCAAGTAATAATGCTCCCATAAGGATCTCTTTCAACATCCTGAAATAAAGAAAATGATGACAATGCATTGAAATACTTATCACCAACATCCTCCATCTCCAAGTGTGTTTCACTAAATGGCTGAAGAAATCCTTCAGCCATCCAGAGCTGGATTAACATCTCCTTTTCCATGACAAAATCTTTAGGGAAAATAGAACAGAAAGCAAAACATTGTTTCAAAGCAGGTATTGGCAAGCGATTGAAACTCAACTGCAACACTCGTAGAACAACCTCAGCTTCTTCCATTGAACGCCATACATTATTATCTTTAATTGACAACCAGTCATCCTTCTTCCTATTATTGCACAAACTCCCCCCAATAATATTTGCAACTAATGCTAAACCTCCACACTTACTAGCAATATCCCTGCCAATCCCCTCCAATTCTGAAGGGAATGATGAGTTGCCAAATGCTCTCTGCTTGATTATAGACCAACAATCCTCATCTGTTAGTTTCTCAAGATGATGCATGTGCTCAGAAAGTGTTTCCATTGTGGAAGCTACCTTTTCACTTCGAGTTGTGATAAGAACCCTACTCCCAACATCTTTACATATTCCTGACAAACAGCTCCTGAAGGATTCCCATTTTTGTCGATCTTCATTCCATACATCATCTAATATGAGAAGATAATTTTTCTCCCCCAAATTTTCCTGCAGTTTCTGGACTACAATATCTTGACTTACACCCACAGAAACATTTCCAGGAAAAGCATTTCCAGGAAAAGCGTGCAACATCTCTACTAAAATTTGTTTCAAATTAAAATTTTCAGAAACACAAACCCACATTATTTTGAAAAAATGATTCCGTATTTGCTCATTGTTACACACTAATTTGGCCACAGTAGTTTTGCCTATGCCTCCCATACCCACTATGGATACAACAAGGAAAGGTTGATCATTACTTGAGTTAATCAATGATTGAACAACTTCTAGGACCTTATTTCCTCTTCCTACAATTTTTGATGGATCACCAATTGAGGAATCTGTTTGTTGGGTTTCTATACGTTCAGGATGCATGTTTGCAACACTATATTGCAGCCCAAACCCCCCGGCTGTCTTATTAAGGTCAGCTAGTTCTAAATTTAAACTCTTAATCCTGTTCGCTATCTTAAGGCGAAAAACTAAAGGATTGGAAAGAGTAAAGAAGTAGCTGACCTTTTCCCACATTTGGGCTACCTCGCACCGCAGATTTTCATATGCAATTTCATCCATCACATCGTCAGCCTCTTCAGCTTTACTCCGAAGCCCTTCAAGCCAAGATTTCAGAAGAGGGCGGTCTATCATTCCCTTCTGCTCTGCATCCTGCAACAGACCCTGGATCATTTTCAGCTTCTCATGAAACCTCGACAGCTCCTGCCTGAATCCGACAGCTAAGTTGAGCTGCTTGTTAGCAACTGAAATCACCTTGGATAAGGTGACACGAATAACAGAACCAAGGATCGGATCAGCAGCCATATTTGGTTCAGTAGTTTGGAAGAGAGAAATGCTTGGTAGATTGTACGGTACAAAAGAGGAGAGAACAATGAATTAGTAGCGCTAGAGATAGCAAGCTTGAGGCAACTTTTATACACGCAGCCGCGTGTTTACTCTAAATTTTTTGTAATTTTAATTTAAG